TTTACATCTCACTTCCAAACCCGTAACCGCTTTTCTAAATCAAGACAGTATTTCAAATAACCTACATTTTGGAGACCCTGACATTAGCTGTGCAACCACGAAATCCAAAATGAGTAAATTGTTTTTTCCCCACTGCTTTTTAAAACAACGCAAGGTCCTTGGCCCTCAACAAGCATAATGCCTCCTAGGTTTTCTTTTTCTTTAATGCTATAAAACCATTTAATCCAGCCAGCTGTGTTTGTGTAAATGCAGAGGAAAATTTACACGTCTCAACAAGTTAATCACAGTTCAAGGGGAATCTCTGATGTGGAGGTTAGCAAGGCAGTAACTGAGGCTGTGATTGCCAGGAGACAATGCTGCAGGAAGGTGGGCAGATTTTGGATGGAGGTTCAGGCCTGACTCAGGAAGGTACTGCCATAGCATCTCAGCCTAAACAAGTGGAGAGATGTCAAGGGCACTGATCACCTACGCAGTTACAAGATGGTTTGATAGTTGTTCCTGGGGCTGACACCACCTTAATCCTTAGCCTTGGCCTCAGTGTTTCCTCTGGCAGCTAAAAACCATCTAAATCCCCATGATATTGAGGACAGAAACATGCTGCAGTACCACCACGCTGTTGGACCAAGGCTTAATGGTCCTTCACAGTCAGAGCAGGAGTCAGTCTCTCCTCAGCTGGCAGGGTCCTGCCAGGGCATTCTCCATACCACCCAGTGCCATGGGGCACCACAAACTGGGGAGCACCACCCCCTCCTCTCCTCCACTCGAAATACAGGGCCTCCTTCAGACCCTAAGCACGTAGCAGCTCTCTACTACTTGGCATCACATGCATTTAAAACTATGGCAATACCTGAGCACCCATGGCAAGATCCTCCCACGATCAGCTCCAAGGACCACACTTATATGCCCCAAGCAGTCTTTCCCTCCAACTTCTCCAGAACAAGAAATACCATCCTCATAACTCAGTCCATAAACAGCTTGCTCAGCGTTTGCAGCTTCTGGCATCACTTGGCAGCTCCATTTGCAGTAGGACTGGTCTCCTTGTCTCCTGGCTTCACAGCAAGTCGCTCATCTGCAGGCCCAGCAGGGCACTTTCAAACACCAACATCTGGTTCTGCCATTTGAAGCAAGGGAGAGAAAGATCAGAAAACACAACAATTGTAAGCGGGACACAGGGAAGGGACAAACCCAGCCCATGGCATGTGTTTCAACTGAGCCCATAGGAGCACCAGGCACAACACAGCAGCTGCAAAGCACCCCAGGGTGTTCAGAAGCAGTGCTGTGAAAGGAGTAGCTTGTTTTATTTATCGCTTGTGAAGCACTGAAGGGGGCAGAGCCGGTCTCCTCACTGCTGCCAGACCAGCTAGTGCAGCTCCTCACAGCATGCAGGGCTGCCCTGAGAGGTGCTGGGCAGCCTGCATGCTCCAGCTCTGCTGTGCAATCAAGTCACAAACTGAAGCAGGCACCAAAAAAAAACCCCAAAAAGCTGAATGTGACTTTACCTGCTCTGGGCTGTTGCCTTCAGGGCCCCAATACAACCACAATTGCTGAGTTTGAACTCAAGCAAAATCCCAAAGCAGTTGCTGGTTTGCTTAAGAAGGGACTACTAGATTACCTTTTGCTCAGTCAAATATTTGACTGCATTTGTATCCAAAAGTCTTTTGCCAAAAAGACTGGGAGTTTTTGTTAAAGAGCAGCCACAGAGAGGCCAGGGCTTTCTGATTCTTTAACAGGGCACTTACTGCATCCCTAAAAAGAGACCCTGCTCTCTGCCATGGAGACTCCACAGCTTTTATGTGATTGAGGTCTTCACGCTGACTCTCAGCACATCACATTTTGGCAGAGGGGCAGATTTTCATAGAGATTGTCCAAGCTGAACTGTTAAACAAGCTCCTCAGGTTCTTCCTTTGAACCTCCTTCCATCTGTCACACATCCCAAGAACCACCATGAAATCAAACAGGCAACAACAGAAACAGCCCCAAACATCTCCTGCAGCTTCTCCTTGTGAGAAACCTTCCCACCCATGAAAGACCAGCTTTGCAATAAGCATATGGCCTCAAAAGCAGAGGGGAAAACCCTTAAAAACACAAAGCAGGAGTGGAGCCACTCATGAAATTGGAGGGGTTGATCAGAAAAGATGATAGGTCTGCATAGGGAGCACCAAAGGCCTGAAAGAATGAACCTGGCAAGCCACTCGGATCATTTAAAACAGCTGGGATTTTAGAAGACAAAACAGTAGCCACATTAAATAAAAAAACAAACAAAAATGAGGATAAAAAAATTAAGATAGGCATCTCAGGGGGTCCAGGACAAGCCAGGTTTGCATCTCTGCGACCCTCAGCACAAGCATCTCCGAGATGCAAGGCTCAGAGCTGCAGGACGTACCCATCTGACCCAGCGCTGTCAACCTCACTGCAGAGCTTTGGTTTCCCATTTCTGGATCTGTTATAGGAGTGGCTCAAGAGGGTACAGGTTTGATTTCAGCAGCCTCTCTTTGCCAAAGATGAAAGCAAGGACCCGAGTATCCCATTTGTGACTTCCTCTCACATTGAAAAGTCTTCCCAGGGCACTCTGGCACCTGATCTCATTAAAAGAGAAGAGAGGGAACAGATGGAAACATAAAAAGAAGCTGTCAGCTGCCAACCACTGACCCCATCCTGACTCCACCCCTCTCCCCACTGCAGCAGGAGCACAAGTGACTGCTCTTGCAAGGACAACAAGGTCAGCAAGAGACGAGGAGGATTTCAGGTGGACAATGAACAGCAGGAGCAGATGAAATCTCAGTAAATGAGAACTTTAGTCAGGAAGAAATTCATCTGCAATCAGGAAAGACGACACGAGGACTGGGAATGTCCAGGAACCCTCTTGTCCCTGCAAACAGCGAGGAGCAGTGTGCTGGCTGGAACAGCCACGATGTCCACAGCCTTTCCAGCACGCCTCTGCCTCCAGGCACCAGCAAACCCAGGATCAAAGTCCCAGTACAGAAGCTGGGATCCTAGCAGGGCCTCCTGCAGGAATCTCACGCTCCTGTCTCACAGCCTGTATCAGGTATTCAAGCATTCTAGGAAGCCTCAGCAGACCAGGGTGATGGCCTTGGAACCAAGAGCACAAGGGAAGGTGCGTATATCCACCGCTTCCTCCTTTTACAGTGTTTGCTTCATTTCTGTCCCCAGACCATCCCCCTTGGGCTCCACCACAAAGACAGCCCTGCAACTGTCCCTTACCAAGCAGCACAAGGACTCCCAGGGCAACCAGGCTATTGATTGAACATACATAAAGTTATACACGTTCCTTTTCTGGGTTAAGTAAAGGTGGCCCATCCACCACGGCAAAAAACGGTGGTTGATGTCTTTAGCAGCAAAATTTGAATGACACATCATGAAACCGAGCAGAGAAGAAACCTTCCCCATTTCCTTAACCAACCCCAAACCTTTTCCTCTTTCCTACAGATAGAAAAAAAAAATCCCTCCCATGCCAGAAGCAGCACATAAGATAGATCAAGAATGACACTGAAGGTCAAAAAATTAAATTTGCACAGGTCTAATTACAGCTCTACCAGGCAAAGTGTTTGATCTCACAGGGACTCAACTTTCCTACCCGTGTGGCAAGTCCAGCAATATTTATTTGCGAAAAGGCAAAGTTACAAGGACTAGCAAGCAACTCACATTCACCACGGCGCTGTGAATGCTACGGAGAGGCTTATCTAGCCTCTGTAATGAGCCCCTCTCTGTTGGCTGAGCAGTCCAGTGGTTTTAGCAACATACAGAATAAGCTTTCTTAGTAGAAAGTGGTATCTTTTACCAGCCTAACCTGATGGGAACAAAAAGGATTACTGACAAACCTTATCTTATCCATACGCTTACAGCATACTGGCTAGATCAATGTATCTTTAAAACATGCACCTGCAGCAGTCCTGAAAGGCGGGGGGGGCGGGGAAAAAAAGCATTTGTGGATAGAACTGTGATGCAGATGATACTGCACAGGAAAATTAAGGTGTAAGTTTATCATGCATCAGCTGTTCCCCAGGAACTGCCTACAAGCAGGGTCCTGCCCCACAGAAGATGCAAGGTGTCACGCTCCACATCTGCGGTAGGGTGAGATGCCCAGCACATCTGCAGTCAGGTTACAGCTGCCTGCCTCAGTCACCCACCCAAAAGCCTTGATGAGGGACATGGAAGGGCACTGAGCATTCAGCCTTCAGCATCCTCTACCTCTGAAGAAAAACAGAACAGGGCAAGTAAAACTATGCCCAAGCACCGTGACCTTCTAGAGGCATCCATCAGCTGAACTTCTGAGAAATAAGTATCTACAGTTTAGATATTATTTACAGTTTTTATCTTTAGCACAGCCTCGAGGCAGATGCCTTCTTTTAACTCTTCCCGGCTGCTGCTCCCACCTTTTTGATTAGGAACTGCATGCTAATTTCTGCCAGCCAGGTTCACAATAACTTGCTGGGCTGAATGCAGAAAGCTGGCTTCGGTTTCATTCTCCTATGACTAGCAGACAGAGGTTTCCAAACCTGCTTGGAAACTAGTTCGTTGGGTTTTTTTCCTGGCTGGTCTCACCAGCACTGAAAAATCCTTTTACAAATGATATCTCATTAAAGATACATCTGGGACTAACCAAGCTAGCTCCATCAAACCTTCACAAGGAATAGCTGGGCTGCAAGGAGAGCTAATGCATCTCCTTATGGAGTAGATCTGGGCAATTAGCCCAGCAATGGGACTGGTCAGGAAGCCAGCCTGTGAATAATACTTCCTTCTCCACGAGCAAAAGCAGCAACAGCTTTACAGGCTGACTCTGGAAGGCTCCAGCTGCAAACAGAGGACAGCTCCCTCCTCCACCAGTTTGCAAGCCCTCCCTCCCCAGGCAGAGGCAGCAGATCCAATAGCAAACCTCCCTTCAGACAGGCCATTTGAGTCTAAAACAGCAGCTTCGGTCCCTGGGCTTAGCTTTGCTCCTCTCCACGGCTCAAAAAGCTTTTCTGCATTGTTGGACACACTGGTCCCTCCCTGCCCTGAACTCAAGAGGGGACCCTGGGGAGATCAGACCAGCCCCTCCATGCTTCCAAGCTTGCTGGGCTGCATCCCTGTGCAATTCACAGTCCCTGCACAGAAGGGCTGCCCTTTTTTTAGTCTTGCTGGCAAAGCGAACTGAAAAGCAGTTGGGGAGAAGCATTCACTTGGGAGGACAGGATTTCTCCTTCCCAGCAAGCAGCATTTGCAGGGCAGCAGACAAACTGGCTGACATTTGCAGAGCGCTCTGAAGGCACATAACTCTCTCGAAATGCCCATCATTAGTCCTGCTATTCTCGTCCCACAAAGCTTGTTTGTCTCCCACAAAATCTATGAGAGTGCGCTACTCCTGCACACCTCCTGTCTCCCTGGGAACTAATCCTAGGCTTGTCCTCCTTGACTTAACCGGCCATTTTAGCCCATAGAAAAATTTCAAGGCCTAGAAACACCTGGCATGAAATGAAAACAAAGGTCAGATATCAAGTGCAACCTCTCCTTGGGACATACACCCACAAGAAACCTTCTCTCATTATGGTCCTAATCCAGGTAAGCCTGAAACAGCTGTTCTTGAAGAGAGAAGCAATCCAAGGATCTCCCCAGCACATCCCTCCCAAAGCCCTGCTCAGGACGCTGGCAGGGCAGGGGCTGCTGCCAGGATGGGCTCCCTGCCTTCCCAAATTTCACCCTTGACATTCCCACTTGCCTCAAGTCTATATACAGGTCCATCTGGCAACTTCACTGCAACAGCAGTTGTCTTTCCAGTAAAATAAATTCATCTATGAGAGAAAAGGCAGCTAGCATCTGCTCCCCAGCAGAGCTTGCAGCAGGCAGGAATACTGGCACATTTCTACATGTTTTATAATGCTTTTTTTTCTCTTCCTTTCACTTCTAATAAAGCAGACCACGTGGGTCATCAGCAGGATCAGGCACAGAACCATGGAAAAATTCGGATGTCTCCCCTTGCACAAACCAGACAATTTCAAAGTTAAATCAGATTGTGCAGGGATGTGTCCAGCAGTGTTAAATATCTCCCAGGATGGAGATTCCCCACCTCTCTGGGTCACATGAGCCTTTACCTGCCTTTAAAGTTACCAGACACACACTTTTGTCCTCAACTACAGCACAGGCTCCAAGAGGTTTTGTGTTGTGATCCTGCAGCCCTTGTTCTAGAAGTCAACCTCAGCTCATGCCTTCAAAGCCCTCAGCTCCTTGAAAAGGCAAAAAAGTCTCCTGGTTTTGGGTGGGTTTTGTTTTTAAGCAGCCATCTGTTGAACTGTTGTCCGAGACCAAAATGCCAGCTACTTCACACCAAAGAGGAAAGCCAATGTGCAGCTGAAAGGCATTGAGGTTATCTGCCTTGTGCATACAAGTGCCAGGAGATGTGCAACAGACCGATAATCCCATGGAAATAAAAGCAACCTTTTTTAGCAGCTGCTACCTTTAGCCCTGCAAATATAATATGATACCTACCTCTTCTTCATGGTCTCTTGCAATCCAACAGCCCCAAGGTGGCCAGGCACCAAGGCCACAGCAGAAACACTCGCGTATTCCTCTGTATGCGGTGTGCTGCAGAGAAGCCCCTGGTTACAGACCTGCCAAAAGAAGCTGAGTATTAAGATGGAAGAACCACCAAGGCTCTCAAAATTACGAACAACGTATAGCTGGTGAAAGAACAGTAAGTGCCACTGTTTTAAGGAACTTCTAAGGAACTGCTAGATCTTTAACTAGCAACGGGAGACATGGTATGGGCTGGATTACCCAACATACTCCCATGACAAGCCTTTGCACCTTGTTCGAAAAAGCTGGTTGCAGCCAGCACATGAGTTGAGCAAAGCTTTACCGCTGTCCAGACTGGCAACTCTGTGCTCCTCGGGGTGGGGAGACAGATGACAGTGGTACAAGGGACATCCCTGCAGCCAATGCTATACACAGGGAGTGAGCATGTACACCATACCCTAAGAGCCCAATAGCAACAATAATATTTGAAAGGGTACTTAATTCAGCCCTGTTGCAACTACAAGGTGAATGGGTACCGCTCACCTTTAAATACGGGCGATTGCAACAAACTGGTGCAGACTTGTATCTGCTCCAAGCAGAGAAAGTAACTCTGAAGTGCTGATGTCTGCCCTGGGCACTTTTCAGTAAGAAGGACATGAACACGTGGGCTTCCAGACTTGTGGCAGCAAGAAATGAAGGGTCAGCATGTCAGTGGTTCTCACTGAACCGACTCTTGCAACAAAGTTGGGAGGAAGAGGTTTGTTGTTTTTTTTTTGGTACATTGTGCTACATCTCTTTGTGCTGCTTCTCTTTCCTGGAAAAGCTGAAGGCGATTGTTGGAACAGTAACACAGAAAGGGCACGTACCAGTCTCACAGTTACCTAAGTTACAGGAATGGTAAGTTCTGGTCTCCCAACGCCACCCAGAGCTCCCCACAGTGGTAGGAAGGGATTAATTGTGAAGAACTGTTGTCTGTCCCACATCCTGATCAATCAGCTGAACACAAGCACAGCAAGTCAGAGATGGACATCCAGACAGTTGCTTATACAAACCAAAGGGTTTCAGCCAGACCGTAGTACTGAGAATCCCAAACAACCTGACAGAGCATGCAGTAAATGGACTGATGAAACGGGAAGAAGGAAAAGGGTTTCCGAAGCACCCAAGCCCCACGAGGGAGGAAAAGTCAGAAAGCAGGTACCATTCCTGAGAGTCAGGCCAGCCATAAGTGAACCCATGGGCTCTGAAAAGCAGAGCCATAGCACACACTGAGCATCAAGATTTGCTCAGCTCATATATGCTGGAACACTCAATAAAACAGCAGCTCTTTTTTTTTTCCCCCCCCACTGGATGAATAATCTTTTCTATCAGGATGCAATCAGGAGCCCAGCTCTGATGTGGCTGGGATAGCCTTTCCTCTGATTAGGAACCTAGAAATCTCAGCTCAGCCACTCACAAGTTCCTTGCTTGCAGGGAGATTGCTTGTAACAGCCCAGCAGATTAAACGCAAGCATTCACTGCAAAAATCAAGGCAAAACCACAGCTGCTGCTTGCCTATTCATACAGCTGCAGAGCATTTAGTTGAGGGAACAGAGCAAAGGATCATTCCTTCACTGGTGCCTTAAAATTAAAAGTATGCAACTGCTTTCCATTGCCCATTTCCATCCAAAATTAAAAGACTGAAGGCATTCATTTCTTCCTGGAGTCAGGGCAAAAAAACCCCTGTCACCTCCATGTCTGCACTTCACTACTTGTCCACATGGGACGTACACAACCACTGCAATAACATAGTGCAAAACCAAAAGTCTATCCTAACACTCAATAACCAAGCCTAGGAGGGTACAGTTTGTGAAAGAGCAGGGCCAAAACCCAAAACAAAGACCTGCCCAGGATATGGGGAAGAACTGGGAGCACTGGGTTCCTGAAGCTACCAGCAGCATGGATGCAATCTAGACAAAAAGCTCCACATGTTGCATTCCCAGGGAGTAATTAGTGGTTTAGCTTTCTGTATTTTTAAGGTTGCCCCGTACCTTGCTAGAATACGGCTTGTTAAGAGGGGTCTGTCTCCTACAGCTCTGCAGTAGAGGATGTCTTAATTCACTCAAAACAAAGCTATATCCTAATGACAAAAAACAGACCTGAGCTGAAAGATGGGACCACTATCTGAAATCCAGGATGGAAAAGCAAGACGTCTCAGGTCTCCATCAAAAGGGGCTACTTCCGAAGTGCCTCCTACCTTCTGGTCAGGAAAGCAGGAACTTGCAGGCCAGCAACGTCTTTCAGAAAGTCTGAAAGCTCCACTATGAACAGCAAAGCCCCAGATGTCCTCAGCACAGCGTCGGCTGAATTATTCACAGCCAGGGAATTAGCTAAATGCAGTTTAACTCATCTGCCTGCTTAATCTAGAGCACTTAAATCCCCATATATTGATCCCAGTTGCCAGAGGTATTTTAACTCTTGAGACCCCAAGATGCTAAACACTGGTTAAGCAAGCAATTTTAAATAAACAAATCTAATTTCCTTCAGTGTTTAAGTGACTGTGAATGAACTGCTCACCCATCCTTGCTACCAGCTCTTGCTAGGAGGAGGATTCATCCAGCTCCATCTTGTATGTGACGCCTGCTTAAAATACCGAGCTGAATCAGCAGATCCTATCCTGGAGGAACAGGGTAACCCTGCCCTGAACCTCTGTGTATCACACAGCCTTAATTTGTCTCTGCAAATTAAGGGCCAGAAGCAGGACAGAAACAGAACAATTAATAAGGTGGCATAAACTACTGGATTTTGAGGCCTGATATGCCCCTCCCAAAAGACACATCCAAAAGATACCTGGGCTAAAGGATTGTTCTTTAAAGTAGTAATACAGTAAACCTGGTTTTCTCCTGGATTTGGTCACCAGAGAGCTGCCTATCAGCACCTGGCCAGAAAAGCACACATCCTAATCAAAGGCAACATGTAAAAGCCCAAAGCAACAAAAGCAGAGATTCACTGGCAGCATTTGGCAAGTGACAAAAATACAGAAGCTTTTGGTAGCAATTCCTTGAAGGGAGGAGTCCTCTCAGAGAGGGCAGGTCAGCGCTCCCAGGCTTCCAAAGCCCGGTTTTCTGGGAGCTCCACTCAGCCCATTTCAGAGGAAAAAAAAAAATAAAAAATATTAAGACATTCCCTTAACTCCATCAGGAGACTTCCAGGAATTCTCCCACCTCAGGGAAAAGGAGATGTGAGGAACATTTTTGTTCAGTTGTTCCGAAGCAAACTAAAACCAACCACTGCAGCAGCAAGACAGCTATCACTGAAGAAGAGACCTTCAAAGCCCTGACATAAAGAGCCTTGCCTCTTCCAGCTGCATGGGATTGTTTTATACCACCTTAGGCAAACCCCAGAATAAAATACCTCCTACAAGTTATCAAAGAAACAGCATTAAGGTTGTCCATAAGATTAGGCATCAGCTTCTAAACCCCCCCCCCGTTCTTTGGTACCTTCAGCTAACCTCCAGGATTCAGCCCTAGGTTGGTTTTCTGAAATGGTAATGAAAGCAGCTTCAACAAGATCAGGGTCATAGCCATGTGGGCTGCAGTAACTGAGGAGCTCCAGGGTCCGACCAGGGGATGAGGCAAAGCCTGCGGAAGGCAGCCAGTTGTGAAACAATTTGACAAAGAAGGGAGAGAGAAAACGCAGGGCAGTATACCTTCCAAAGGAGATTAAAAGAACAAAGGCTTCAGGAAACCAAGCCATCACCTAGACATTGTTGTATCTGTACAGATGTTAGTGTGCTTGGAATTGCATAACCCCAAAATCCATTGCACAGGGAGAACAGAAAAGCTCCGGAGATGAGCCCAAAGTACAGCACTTCAAACTCTGTAAAAGCCAGCGGAGCACACCTCCTCCCGGGGGGTGGCCAGCTCTAATTGCCACATTGCTTCCCAGTAATGATAGGGGGAAGAGTCAGGACAGCTGCAAAAAGTAAATGAGACTTCTCAAAGGGGGAAAAAAAAGGAAAGAGAAAACATCCAAGATTTTTACAATGCTATTTGTGACAAGAGGCGTCAAAACATGAAAACTGGTGATGAACAGTTGGGGAGAACAGTCAGGATTCCACAAAGCAGTTCAGATGGCATGAAATCAGAATGAAAATTAACATTTGTCAAAAAAATTACTTTGTATTTTGCTTTGCCCTAGAGGTGTCGCATGGTAAATTCTGCAGACCAAGACCACTGCTTTCCTGAAGGAGACTACCACAGCTCCGAGGTAGGGTGAAGAAGGGGAACCATCTCCTTTCCAGCTGGTGAACCCCTGGGGAAGAGGAGCTCCCTCCCCATCAGATACATTCTCTTTGACAGGTGTTAGAGTAGGCTTTGCTGCTCACGGTCGTGTATGGTAGCACAGGTAATTGCTCAAGGGCTGGTCAGAGCCACAGCAGAAGCTAAATCCGAAGCTCAGTCACCCTAACCTTCCTCTTCTGTTCTGGCTTCACAGAGATAATCCAAGTTTTGAAAATAATCCCCCACGACTCACCTTTCGTGTCAGCGATCCTGTCTTCATTAGGGTTTGCTCTCTTTCCTTAAGAAAAAGGAAAGGGCAGGGGGGAGACTGAGCAAAATGTTTCCCTTCCATGGGGACCATTTGCTCAGCCCTCCAGCACTGGGAGGCAAATCATCTTTTGGTGCAAGGGCACAGAGTTCAGCACAGTTTCATTAGCAAAGAGCTTGGCCCAGGTCTCCCTTCTTGATTCCTGCTTTCTAACAAGCATCCCATTGCTGAGCTAAGATTAAAAAAAAAAAAAAATAAAAAAAAAAATGGGGGGGGGCACCCACACAGCTGAGGAGACCCAGGCTCCCACTCCCTCCTCCTCTCTTCCACAGCAGACCTAACACCCAGGAAAAATAATATCTGGGAGTCATCAGACATAACATCTCATTTATTCCTTACAGCTGCCCCTGTTCGTTCCCCCATATCATTATGGTCAAAATACATGGCAATTACAGTCCCCCCTGCGGGTACATTCTCCACAAGGTTTTGAAGTTCATCTCTGAAGCAGAGCTCCATCGAAATAGAGCCAGCTTTGAGATCCACA